GTATTCCAAAAACAGCATTAATTTGAATGGAAACCAAATTATTGCCTGAAGATTTTCTATGGCATGAGTCACAGAATGTAGACTTGGTCCATTTGATAAAGTTCTAAAGGGAGCAAGAAGGACCTGGAGTGGATTAGGCACTCTTCCATATTATCCAAACACTGTATGTGACAAATCACACAACCAGAATGAAAACGAAGAAAAACCTTACAAATAAAAATGACAGTGTATTAGTAGCCCCAACAAATGCTGGCTGAATGGCATCAGCAGGGATCTGGAACAGCATAAGAACATGAAAAAAGTGGCTGACTCCTCACCATATTTGGAAAGAACCCACAAACAACTTTCTGATTGCCTAAGCCACACTGAATTCAGTTGTTCATTAGAGACCAAAGTGCTTTGATGGACTGAGGCTTAAGAGCCTGATCAAAATAGCTGTTGGAAGTTAGTGATAGAAGAGCCCAGTAGACACCCACAATATTAGGAGGGTGATCCACAACAACTGATCACACCGCAGCTAGTGCCTAGGGGGCCACGGTTGGAAAAAGGTTGGGAGACACTGGTCTAGGGATCTGCAAAGGGTGAATTGACAATGCTCACTGTACAACAACTCAGGCCATCACTAAGGCTAGCAGTGTCAGTAGTTATACCCTCTTTGTAATTCTGCTGGAAGTCACAGATCAGACTGCCTTATCACAGATCAAGGTGGTTTGGGGTGGGCCTTTTTGTCACGTGCTGTTATGTTCGTTAAGGCTTGCAAGCTTATCATAGTTGCCTTGAGCATTTCATCCCCAAGAGTTTCATGAACCTACATTGCAGATCTCACAATGAATTTGCTACACGAACATTTTGCAGCCTTTGTCCATGAGAAAGTTGCTTGGCATAAAGCTGTTATGTCAACCCCATGAAACAATGGTGTAGTGGTGGGCGAGAAGGTAAAGCTGGCATTTCACAATTAATTCCATGCCCCACTTCTTCATGGAAATGTTCAAAAAAAGTGTCACTGCAAGCAAAATGTACATACATCTCTGTTGGGCCACTTACAAAACTCCTGCTTCACTTCCACAAACATTCCTGGCACTTTTATACTAAAAAAATGTACTGAGATTTCTTCAGATCATGTTTATGGAGGGCAGGAATTTTGTGCCAACTGCATGACTTGCGTGTCTTCCACTGTCTCCAGTAAGTCATGCCTATTAAGAGGAAAAGCATTGAAACTGGGTTTCAGGGAGTGGAATTCAATCCCATGGTGGACAAAAAATTCCTTGGATACTCCTTGCCAAATCAGTCTGTCTCTTTTTCAGCTAGAAAATGACAACCAGTGATGTGATTCTCACGATGACTTTGAGGACTAGCAGGCATAAGTGGGATTTATGACTGTTATGTAAACTTCTTAGAAATTTTCTTTTTTGCTTAAGCAGTCTAGAAATATTGTTAAATAAAACAAATAAAAAGAGACAATACTCAGAGTGGTGTCCCCCCCACACCCCTAGGCATCACAGTTCCCAACTAAATGACTCATTATTACAACTGTATTTTCCTAATCCCCTTTTTTGGGGTGTGTGTGAATGATTAGCCAGAAGAGCTGGAAGCTATTTGGGTTGTTCCTATATAGCAGGCACAATTCCAGGAGAAGATGTCAGAAGCCACATGAAAGAACCAGAGCAGTAAGTAAACATCGCCCTTACATAACTGGGTGGGGGGGAAAGGTGAAGTTTTTCTTCCTCATCCCTAATTTCTAGGAATTTGTTGAAAGCATCATGGAAGTCTTCAATATGAACAGTCTTAGTCATAATACATCTATAACATACAAATCAATCTCTGTAGTATTGGAAATGCCGCAACAGCTAAACTAGTTTAAAAACAGCAGTGTTGGGCAGTGTTTAAGCAGCCCTAGAAGGATGAAACAGCCCCACCAAAATTTCTAGCAGGTCATTTTGACAGAGGTTGCCTGTTCTGCACTGTCATTGCTTACCAACCCCTGAAGGCATTTTGCTGCTCATGGATCATTTGTTGCAGATTGTTCCTCATCTATTAATAGCCAAGTCTTGCCTTGTTTGGGCTGGCATGCTTTTTGGTCCCTCCAAGGGAAAATTTTGCTCGGCTCTGCTTGGTCTTTTTAACTGCACATCTTTAACTGCACGTACACTTTAGATGGTTGCATTAAACTTCTGAAGTTAAATACTACACACAAACACACACACACACAGAAACTATTTACTTACATTTTGGATGCCAGTGGTGAGGAGGGAAAAAAGCTGTGTTGTATCTTGCATGCAAAATCCGGCCAAAATGTCTACTACTACCGAAAAGTAAAACAAATTAAAAATAAAAAGCAAATAGGGAAAAACAAAACGAAGTAAAAAGCCAGATGTCACCCCCTGTCCATATAGAGGATGTTGCAGGGGGAGTGAGGATGAGAAGCAGGAGGCAGCGCATAGCTTCTGATGGCCTTACTCACTTTAACAGAGACTTTGTTGCCCAGAATATCCTTGGGTTTACGTAGGCCATTGGCTTCAGTTTTGCCACTGCTTTCCTTTTCTGCCCGCTTTCTCATGCGCAGGGTATGCCATGAACATGACTTCCTGTTGTACCAAAAAATGCACCAATCAAATGGCGTATCTTAGTAGGAAGAGGAAGGGATGTGGAAAAGCAATCAGCACACATGTTCTTGATACCTGCAGCCCCCCTTAAGAAGGGAGAAGCCACTTGCAATATGCCTAGTTGGGTGCAAACATTCAAGTCAGGATTTCAAACTAGTCTAGAACAAATGTTTTGTTTATTCTTGCTAATTGAAAAAAGATATTTTCTGTAAGTTGGCTGCAGGTCCGCAGATAACAGCATACTTCTTATTCATAACCTGCAAGGGTTGGCAAAGTAAATTCTTCCAGTTAAAGTGAAAATATTGCAAAATTAGAGAGAAATCAAGTCTTTGTGCATATCTTACAGAGCTACGCAAAGCATTTGTATATTCCATGGTTCGGTGCCAGCTCCCAAACATCAGAAGTTAGATAATAACCACTTTATTAGATAGAGGAGATAAACATCATAGTACAGCTGAGTCGATAAAACACAGGCATGTTGAAAGAACAGGAACTTCTTTGCTTAAGTGCAGCAATGCTTATCTTTCTGCTCTAAGGAACAGAAAATGAAGTTTCTATATTCCCATTTTGTGTCCCAATACACATCCTACCTTTGCCACAAAATGTTTTCTTTAGGATGGGGAAGCAGAAATAGGAAAGTGTATGTATCAAAGCAAATAAGAATACTGACAACTATTTAGTCATTAACTGGATCGCCACTGCATGTCACTTTATAACAGAGAATCCCCCCTCCGTGGATTTGTAATACATTTTCATGTATACAGCTGAGTGAGAACTCACTTTTCAAAAACAGAAGCAAAACAGCTAGAACCATGGCTCAGTTGTCTGCTGTATTTGTCTTGGGTTTGTTTGTTTGTTTGTTTGTATGTATGTATGTATGCTGCAAGTCTAGACTCTGATCCCAGTTATGAAGACATAACAACATACCTTACTAGAAAGGGCAGGTCTGCACTTCATAACTGCCACAGGAAAACACTGCTGTAACACCAGTGTTTCCTGCAGAAAATATGTGAAGGGTGGGCATCCACACATACATCTTTTAAACATTCATGTACATATATCTGGGATTCCCAATTGAGCAAGAGGTTCTGGATGTGTGTACACATGTATGACAGTCACCTTTTTTACTGTGGTGAAAAATGGTGCGTAGAGCTACTCAAAAAGTTGCATGCAAAATGGGAGATGAATGAACATTTTATGAATTTTCTCACAAAACAACACTTTCTTCCAATACTGAAATGCTTTTGTGCTTATAGTATTGTTCACCAGATTACTTGGCTGCAGTGTAATATTAAAAAGCAAAAAAACCCCAAGGCTTAGAGCAAATAAGGCACACCATCACAAGACTAAACTGATTTATATCAAATTGTGGTCAACCGTAGTTTATGAACTGTGTATATGCTAGTGTTACAAGAGAAGTCTGATAGGCAACATTGTTTGGGAGCATGCAATGGATATTGATATCATCAAACCATGTGATACTGCGCTGTACCAGTCCTGTTCACAACCTCCGCATGCATGCTCACTGAACAAGTGGGGGAAATATAGCTTCATATTCAAGTATATTTAGAAGAAGGTGTGAAAGGGGCTCCTAATGACCAGTGGTTTCACTCTTTCACCCAAACATTCAGTGAATGTGTGTACTGCAGGCATGAACAGGGCTTTGGTTTGCAGAGCTTAGGGGGCAGATTTCTCCAAGATTATACTTGAGCATAATATCCATAGAAGCATGAAAGGTAAATGGGAAAGAATGGGAACATTATTAAGGAACATAAAACTAGTGAAGTAAGATTGATATAGATTTGCTTTTTTTCCTGAATAAAAGGCCAAACTTTTAATGTTGGAGAGGAGGAGAAGAAAAATTCCCATTTCCCCATACACATTCAAGTTAGCTTGAAGTAATTTTGAGAACATAAAAGGCTTTGAAACAAAGTGTACAGAATTCTCAGCATTTGCAGTGATATTCTATAGTAGTGTGAAACCCATGAGAGAGATACATAGGCCTTCTCTCTCTGTACTGTTATGTATTTATGCATATATTGTCCATGTTTCCCCCACCCAGCAAGTCACTGTGCTTTATTTCCATTGGTGCAATGTCTGCTGTATCATTGGTCTTCCTGTAGCATAGCAGTTTTGTGCATGAAAGGTCATGGTCAAAAACCTAAGTCCCAACCCACATGACAATTCCCCTTGCCATGAAAATAACTGCTCCCACATCTCACTGAATTTTGTGAATATGCCCCCTGGGCTGTTCCTAATATGGGAGGTACCCTGAGCAAGGCCAATCACACAAACGCCTGGCAAAACCAGCATGTGAGTTCCATTAAGAAACTTCTGTTACTCCCCATTTCCTCAGGCCTTGACATCACCTTCCTATCTTCACTGGATGAATGATGGTCAGGACATAGCTCAGTGGATAGAGCATGACACTCAATCTCAGGGTTGTGGGTTCAATCCCCACATTGGGCAAAAGATTCCTGCTCTGCGGGGGATTGGACTAGATGACCCTCCTAGTCCCTCCAACTCTACAATTCTATGATAACTTTGTAAAGACTATAAATTATTAGGCCCAGTGCAGACCTAACCATATTAAGCATTGACAAGAAAGCAGGAGGTATGCTGTGAGCTCACCTTCTTTCTCCCCCTCTTTAGTGCAAATTCACCTCTTTTCTTGTTGGTTTTTGCCATAGTTGAGCACTACACCCAGGATGCACCAATGCTAACCATGGTTAATGTGAAGCAGCTTAGCAAATATTTGCAGTCTTGCTTCAAATCCTGGTTAGAAATCAGACTCATAGCTAAACATGGTTAGCATCTATACAGATGCAACAATAAATCATGGCTAAGGCTAATAAGAAAAAAGTCTTTGTGTGGAAATCTTCATGTAGGCTTTCCTTTTCTCTTAAGATATAAAGACTGGCAGCAATGTGCCTGCACTGAGCCTTATTCATTTGCTGCAGCATCCATTAAATCTAATGAGTCAACACACCTAATATTCAGTACTTAAAAGTCAATTGAAGAGCTCCCTTCAACAACTGTACTCCAAGGAATCTGTGCAAGATAACCAATGCTGAATCAATTTTTGACAACTGAAGATTAAAATAAAATAAAAATCAACTGGTTTTACAAAAAGGATTGTACCTTCAGTATTTAATATCAAAAACATTTTCTTGCATTATTTAGTCATTTCAAACTGACAAATTTCAAAAAAAGGTGAAATAGTATTCACACATTTGTTAAATAAGCAACAAAACATTGTAAGAAAAATAAGAACTTAAAGAGGGTCAAAAACTGGTCCTTTTTAACCTCATCAAAACATGCTCATGGTGAAAATTTATTTTACATATTTAAAATAGTACATTTAAAATTATTAGTTACATTACAGGTACAATGATGAACATTGCGACTATCCATAATATTGCACAACCTGACTTCAAATATGGGTTTCTTTAAATAGTGCAAAATACTTTTTACAGGAATGTACTCCAAAGGGGATTTCTCAAACCAAATTATTTTTACAAAATATTATGTGAACAGAAAAAAGAAACTTTCAAAATAAAAAAGTTACAATCTGTACAAGAAATTGCCATTGACAACATTGAATCTCTATTCCTTGAGAAGTGGGTCTCAATCCAATACAAGGCCTGATGTATATGGGTGGTGTTTTTCTTTGCTCTATATCATTATAACCTATATATTTATATTTATATTTATATTTATATATATTATAAGCAATTTAAAACACAAGATAAATACAAGTCCAGTCAAATCAGGTCCATATTTAGGAAAGGATGGGGGGGAAACCATGCCCTTTAAACTGTCTATGGATTTCAATTCTTTACAAACTATGGGGGCAGAGCGGGGAGAGAACAAAATTCCAACAAAAGCCCAACTATGCCAACATGGATACCCCATGTTGTGTTACCAAGCAAAGTTTGTTCCAATGGCACTGTAGATTTAAAAATAAAGGCAGGAAAATCCTAAGATTTGGGTTTTATTTTTCCTCAAAAATCCACATACTGCTCCCAGGGAATCCAACACAGCACTTACTTTATGCCTCCATCGCTATTATCTGTAGTTGATTTAGTGAGGGGAGCCAATATATTCCCTGGGATCCATCCTTCTGCTGCTGGTGAATGGTCATTGGCAGGCTGGTACACAAGGAACATGTTCTGCTGGTTAATGGCAAGTACTTGGACCACCTCACCCTGGTTGACACAGATTTCATTCTCCTTCAGTGCATAGTAATCTTTGATGACCACCATAGAAGAGGTCCCATTGCACCCACCCAAGTCATTCTGAAGAAGAGACACAGAAAGCAACAGTGACAAGATAGCTCAGGTGCAATGCTAAGTTTTTTATCAGCATCTCCTGGGCAACACATTTAAGTGTACTAAGAGTTTACAAGACATCTCAGTGTACACAGCAGTATGTTGCCTAGGCAACTGCACTGTGTTTCTTTTCATGTGATGCTGTGCGATTGACAGACTACAGATCAGTTGGCGTAAATTCACAAATGCATACTCATTGTCACTATAAGCAGTAGCTCTTTTTAACAGCCTGCTTGTGAAAAAAACCTACACATAAGCTTGGGACACAACAGTTGTCAACTAATTTCATAGGACATTTTTGAAAATCGATTATTTTCCTAATTTGGGAGATGGGAGGGCAAAGAAAGAAGATCAGTTAAATAAATGCATCAAGTAACATCGGTTTTGGAAGGCAAAGTGAAACCCTGGTCACATAATGAAAGTACTGCAGCTGATATAATTAAAGTAAAGCAAAATAAGAAGCAAGAAGAACTTTGTGTGCAAAAGCTCCCTGGTTCAACTTATGTCCAGGTAGGGCTGGGAGAGAGTTAGGACTGAAATCCTGCTAGTCAGTGTAGACAATACTGAGCTAGGCAGACTAACAGTCTGACTTGGTATACCACAGATTCCTATGTTTCACTTATGCCAGTTGTTGCTGAGAAGTCTGCAAGAAGGAATGAAGGCAATTGCACTTTCTTGCTGTTATCTACTCCCTCTGATCATGGACTTCCCATTCAGCCATCAGTGGGGACCACTCCCCATGAATTTGTCTTAAGATTGTTGTTGTTCTTTAAAGCAATTACAACTAATAGCCACCAGCACATGTGGCAGTGATTTCAAGGCTAGAGATGCACTTGTGTTTTCCTCTGTCGAATTTTTTAAAAAATTGCACCATGCAGATTCTTGAGCCCTTTCCTAACACCCAGAACAGACTTAAGACTGGATTTTGCTGTCTGAAAGCTGAAGATCATTTCCTTCTTGGATCAGCAGTTACCATCTGGTTCAAGTACTCACATCCACTAACCAGGATCAGTAACAGGCCAAATTTGAAATGATGGCATTGCAGTAAAAAAACAACAACACAAAGTAAAAATACATACATACCTTGATTAGTTCATATTTGTCCCCAGGCTGGTGCTGCTCATGCCCTGTGCTGCCATTGGAGGTAGATATTTTCAGAGGTGGAAGAGATGGGTTACGCATTGTAGCCTTCAAAGGTTTATCCGACCCTACTGGACCTGAGGAATAGGGTCTGGTGATGGGCTGAGGTACCCTGCTGGTCTGGGGTCTCATTACAGCAGAACTGCTGTTTTCTTTGCGCTGGTACTCTATAGGAGACTGTAGTGCTGGAGTAGAACACTAGGAGTTAGTACGGACATGCCCATTTGCGACACCATGTTTGCCTAATGCAAGGGATGCCATGTTTAGTTGTTTCAAACAAGTAGCCTGGAAAAATACAAACCATTCACCTACATAGCTTGGAAGCACTGAAAGTTTCTCTTCAGGAAGAGTGAGGGAAGCACTTTCACAAATGCTGACTTTTGTGCTTTTACAAATGCTGTAAAAACCCAATGGTGCAGATCAAGCTCGCTTGGAACTCATAGTAATACTCCCCAATTCTAGCCTCTCGATAACAGCAACAGTGAGCAGTGTCTGCTCAGTGATGCCCCTCCTGCTTTCATAATTTGTTGCTCTGGTGGTTGATACTAAATAGCAGCTAGACCTAAAAGTTTACTAATCTTTATTTTATTTAAGATGAAATTGGTAGAAAAGAGAGGCAAAGGCAGCTTCTGCAAAATTCTGGCTTGAGAGCAAGAAGAAAATAGAACAAACCTAGTCTCAAAGTCAGGAGCTCTGCATGCCCATCCCTTACTATATGCAAATATAACATGGATGGGGAACCTGTGGGCTGCTATATTCCCTCTAAGTAGAAGAGGAGTCCATAGTTGAAACTAGACACTGTGTGAAGTAGGACTTCCTCTAATATGTCCTGAATATCACATGATTTAGCTTCATTGGGGGGAAAATGTAGCTTGTACCCAAGACTGGCTTGTATACCTAAGGACTGTGAAGTGGCCAATTTTTAAAGAGGGATACAGGAAATGACAAGCCAATTAGCCTAACATCTGTTCCAGGTAAATTGGTGGACACCGTTGTGAAAGATGATAGCGTATACAAACGCAGTGCTGCTGAAGAAGAATTAACATGGCTTCTGAGAAAGTAGGACTTGTCTTGCTAACCATTTTTAGAGTTCTTCGAGAGTGGCAGTAAGTATCTGGATGGGGTGATCTGGGGGACAATGGTACAATCCAACACACCCCATCCTGAACTCCACTGCTAGACTTCCTAAAAGAAAAAGATTTTCACTCTAGATTTTAATACTTAGCACAAAATTTATCTGCCTCCAGTCATGCTCCATTTAAAAGGAAGGTCAGCGTGCATGACAGTTATGGAGGCGGTCTGCAACAGCAATCTAGGTAGGAATAAGGTTCTGCCCAGAACAGTCAGAAAGCACTTGGGTTTTCTATAATTAAGGACAGATAAAAATGCTTACCATTTAAAAAGTCTCTCTGTGTGTCCAGCACTTGATTGATATCCTCCACCCAAGCTTGCTGGATTTCAGGATTGGCTGCCTGCAAAATGAGCCTTTCTGACGTTTCCCGACTCATGAGTGCGAATTTGCAGGGATCATTGTCCACATTATCCTCAAGGATTAGGTATGTCATCTGCAAGCAACCAGAGAAAGCTCAATGCTCATTCAAGGGGGAGCAAGCAAATTCAGGTAAACTATATAGCAGCTAAACTGAAAGATGGCCCTGCCACCACTGTCCAAATGAAGAGCAGCAACCACAGAAGGTTCACTTCTCCAGAGGAGGAACTCTCTGGAAGTAACGTCCCATAGAGAATACTTGGCTTTCAGCTTTGTTCTTCAGCTTCTGTGCTAAGCATCTTCATGAACAGTTCAATTATCTCTGAGTTACTGGCTTTCTTTAATGGTTAGCAATGCTAATAATTATGGGTGGGAGGAAGAAAATTGCTCTACATGAGATGCCCTCCAAAACAGAAAATGCTTTCTGTCATATTGTCAAATAAACACGTATCAACAGAAGAGCCTCTAAGAAGGAAAGTATAATGCTATTTGCCCAGGCATACCATGCAAGT